ATTTAAAAAGACTCACAATTCTTTTTGTACTTATTCATTACAGTCGCAACGTAATTGTATTTGTATAAATTGTAGTTGTGATTTCAATGAATAAATTAAAGCAATGAATGTATGATTTTGTCTGTTTGCACTTATCATATTATCCGCTGTATTTTTCAATTCGTTTGTTATCCTATTAAATAATGATAGAGGAATTTGATCTTCATTTTCAGATTTCTGTAGATTTCTTGCCTTCCAAATTAGCCATTTAGACTGAAATATGATTAGATTACATAGTTTATTTATATTATCATTACATTCTGAGACACCACAGATTCTTTCCTTTTCTGTTAAACTATTATGTACATTGCCTGTTGCTAGACATTCATTTAGTAATTGTTCTATCCTGAACCAAATTGTTTCACTAAACCTGCACCCACTAAAGAGATGTTGTTGGGTTTCATGTACTTCTTTGCAGAAGTTACATAGACCATTTGATTTCTGCATTTGTTTTAGTTTATATTCAGTGGTTAAAATTCTGTGTAGGCTTCTCCGCTGAAAATCCTTGATTCCAGTCAATGATAGTGTTATTTATAGAGAGCCAGATGGCATTCCAGTCCAATGCTAAAAGATCATTCCATTTCTGAAGGGATTTTATCTCTTTACTATTATGATACAATATATATTTAATTATTTTGTTCAAACACTTGTTAATGGCTAAAATGCTGTTTTTATAAGTGAAAACCAAGTCATTTGAAATTTAAAGGCACTGATATTGTTTTCATTATTATTTTGTAGTATGTTTTTCCCCCTCTGATTTTTGAGAATTCCGATATCTTATGTTTCTAATCTCTTCCTCTTTTTGGCCTGTGACAGTTTTGAAAGTCAGCATGACATTTGAATCCCCCAGATTAAAATGTCAGAGCACAGTGGATACCTTATCAGAAATTTGAATTGTCTGCTAGTAATATCTTTACGGTGAAGTTAAGAAAGCCTTGGTCTGCTGATTGTGTCAAGAACTTGATGGATTAGAAATTGATAGGGAAAGTAGTGGGATAAGATTTACACCCAAGGAGTCTGATTTTCATTATCATGAAATTAACTTAAATATTTAATCCTTATTGCTGATTTTGAATAAGGTTTGCACTGCTTCTTATTTTCCTTAAAATACAACCATACTAGAATTTTAACATAATGTTCTATTATCCTCATTCGGATGTGCTTACATTTTCATTTCCCAAATGTGAATAGTGGAGTTGAAACTTTTTCAACAAAATGACTTCTGATTTCAAACTACAGGAAAACATGTCAGTTACGATTTTCATTTGTTACCGATACTTTTTACAGCAAATTAAACAAAATAAAATGCAAGCTTATGATTTTAAAGCTTAATTTAAACCTGTCGTCGGCGGCATTAGTTGAATGGATTTATCTGGGGAACTAACGGTCATACAAAATTAATTAATGAATGGTTGATAGGCACATATCTTCAGCCCAAGCTGTGAGATAAATATCTGTCTAAATTTGTGTCAGTTGAAACAATTTGTTTTAATCAATTTAGCATTAAGCAGTAAATGAGTGCTTCAAATTAAAGACTAATCTTTATATTGCCTTGACAGTCTTCATCCCTCACTGTCACAGAGAAGTTGCTTATCAATGAAATAAGATGATAATTCTGAAGGATGTTTATTTTTTAAAACAATATTTCCATATTGACATGTGTTGTTGTAGAGTGAATCTAGAAGACATTGACACTAACAAACTGCTAAATGATTAATTAATAAGATTCCTCTATTTTATTGCCCTTCCATATCAGAACCCAAGTACTTCACCTAAATAGAGGGGCACTAGCCTACTAAATGGCCCTTAGGGACCTGGCAACAATTAATAACAGTCTCCCCTGTTGAGGGACTGGGTGGTCAACCTTTATGGTTAGAGTTAGGTTGCTAACCAAAGACTTCCTCTAATGACATGGTAATGACCATTATTCTGGACTGACCACTGTCCAGTTTTCTGTCTCTTGAGCTACTGATAGACAATCAGCCAGTCTATACAGTTTCTAGCTTGATACCATTGTCCATGGCAAGTGAGAAAAAGTGTAATTAGATAAAAGACTGAGGAACATTGTCTTTTTTGGGGCCTGGTTGGTTTATGCTTGACCACACCTGTTTGTGTCCAGAACAATATTGTTGTTGAATTGGCCTTTGAGAAAAAATCTGACATCTTGTTATTACAAGGATTGAGTAATACAAAAGTCCACCAAACAGCTATCCTAGTAGTATTTAAGCTAACTGATAGGTGATTTCAAGCTTCTTGTACATGGCAGGCTTGGGGAATCAACATTTTCCAGGTAGAACAAATGTTTTAGAAGTACAAACAAAACCTTTGTAAGGGTTGTTTGCAGTTGTAGGCCAAAACATTACCTATGGTGGTACTAGTGTAAAAAACACATGGGAAGTCTTGTTTATTTTAAAATATCAGACTCACACCCATGTAGGGACTGAAAGGAAATGTGCTTTTTCAGGGGAAATATAAGAAAAACAGTCTAATGCATTGGTAAACACCATGTGTTTTATTGTATGGAACATCAGCTCAATTCCATATATATATTGTTGACAGTCTAAAAGAAGCAATACTACTATTTGTTCCCGAGGTCAGCGACTCAATCATCATGCTTATTCATATACATATGTTCTTATAAAGACAAATGTTCACCATATGTCTGGTGAACATTTTCTTAAAAAATATTTCGAAATATTTATTTCTCTTTAAATTTCATAGGTCTACATTTTATTTCCGTAAAAAGACACATCAGGGTGACTTCTTAACAGGATGGGGTGCATTAATCAAGTTATTGTTATACTATTGTTATATTTCTATTGTCTTATTGTGACACTTTTTCTTATAAATGGTAATTGTATATTGTGTGATTTTTTTCTAGTAACTTTCAGATATCTAGTTCATTAGTCAAACTTTTTTATGAATTGGTAATTATCACTTCAAGGAAACAGCCAATCAGAAAGATGTAGGTTGGTGCTCGTAAGAGTGTTAGACTTTTATAGTAAGCCATAATTGTAGGTACAACTAATAAACGGGTTAATTTGAACATAAACTAATTTCTTTGTTAGTCATCAAGAATTCAGTTATTAACTAATTTTTGTCAATCTGTGTTAATTCATATGTAAACTTTAACTAATCAGGGATTATTCATAGACGTGTGGTTACCAAATTAGTGCTATTGTTTAATGTGTGTAATTTCCCCGAGAACTCATTATCATTTTTTTTGTTTTTTTAATATGAATCTCACCTGTTTTACTAGGAATAACACTGGAAAACTTTCAGGTAAGCTCAGTGGTAGTAGATATTGTAGTTGTCTTCTATTTCTTTATTGACATTTCAAACAAGTTGTTTATACCTTTTATTATTTCATCTTCCTCACAAATTTAAAACAATATTTTGGAAGTCTACAGGTATATAAATCTATCATTGTTTTTAATTGAATTGTATTTATTATATCTAATTTTCAAATTCTTTGTTGTCATCAGGGTTTAAAGATAACATATATATATATAGCTTAACTGTTGGCCTTTTTGTTTCCTCAAAAGATTGTCATTTATCAAAACATTAATAAACAAAGGCTAACAGCATCCTCTAGAGCATCCCTTTGTCCATTGATTGAAAATGCAAGGCAGTATTTGTTGTTGACTCATCAAAGCAGTTTTTTTCAAAATGGTAGCCAAATTTTCAATGAAAATGCACAAGAATCAATTTGCCAGTTGTTGAAAAATCACCGTTGCTGTTTCAAAGGTTCAAATTGAAATATTAAATACATTTATACTTAAGATAAAGAAAGTCATTGTTATGATATCAATTCAGCCTCTGTTGGGGAGGAGAATTAAAAAAAAAAAAACAGTTAGTAGGTTTACTATGTCATTCCTTCAAGTGATAGGGAGACATGTTCTCATTTGTAATAACATCTTAATGTAGGGGCTAACCTTTGAGCAGTTCAAGGTCAAACAAATGCAAAATTTTCGGATTTTTTTTGTCAAGGCTGTAAATTTCATATGAATCTTAATTGACTGTGCCTAAAGTTTCATCTAAATTTGCGAGAAATAACTCCAATGAAGTTGTGTGCTTGTATTTTTCGTTTCAAATATTTTCATTGGAATTATACCTCATTTGAAGTTTTTGAAAATGATAATACTTTTAATCAAGTTATTTTTATTAAAAAAAAAATGTTCATGGGTGTTATACCCCTTTCCTGATATTATTATGATGGGGCAGGTGAGGTGTAGGGAGGGAGTTATTGTCAGCCTATGGCTTACACTAGTACTGGTTTCTATATATGTTGCCCTTAAAAAAAAACAGGAAAAAATTGTCAGTTTGTAGTGCGAAGAATATGACGAGAAAATGATATACAGGAAGGGAAGGGGGATATTCTCACTGACAATGAAGCAATTCAGAGCTAGATGCAATAAATCCTATTTTCAAAGTCAACAAGCTTATCAGGTTAGTTGATTGATATCTTGGGCTAATGGTTGTCCTTCATGTAGAAAATCCTGTTTTTATTGACCAAAAACATTGTCATCTACAACAAAACATAGGTAGAAGATGAAAGTGGAGCCTCTAATTGTTATTTTTACCTCACAACAGGAGATACTGGATTTAAACTATAATCATCATGGCTTTATGACTTCTGAGTTGCTGGCTGACTTTGAAGTCATGGCCGCAGTCCTCAGGCATTGCACTGGTTAGATAGGCCTTTCTTGAGATTTGCTATGCTTCATCAGTTTCAAGGTAGAGATAATGTCCATTTTAGTGACCACATGCCTAAGGATATACAAAAACATTGCAGAGCAGGTATGGGGTTGTGAGCTGACCAGTAAATAAGCAATGGTCAGGATTTTAGCCACAGGTCATTGCTCCTTGGTTAGGTAATGTTTTGTTTGCCCAGTAGCTTTGGTTGGAGATCTTATATAAAAACCTGTCCAGTCTTGGAAGTCTCATCAGTATGCTAAAAGTTCCCAGTTGACACAGAAGTGAAGTTATTGGCAAGTGTTACTATCAGAACCTTGAACTTGACAGATGTTCCTCATTGGGTCAAACCTTACCTTTACTTAGCACTGACCAAGCATTTCCTGAGCTTGTTTGGTCAGCTGAAGACTCACAAGTGACATTTTGTTGCAACAGTGCTTGTGGATTTTTCTCATTCCTCCGTTACTCAAAGCCTGCAGTTGTGCCAAACTTTGGATTTATTCACCTGAATGGAAATTATCTGAACACTTTGGATTTAAAACTAAAACAATTTGGATGTGCAATGGAAGTTAACAAGAAAAAAGTGTTGATGGTTTTACCACAGAGCAGAATGAAGCTAGATTTACATGATATGCCGTCATTTTCAGACATTTTATCTCCATACTCTGCCGTAATGTCTCCGTGTGCGGGATTCCACACGCCAGTGTTTCCGAAAACACCAACAAGAAGCATCCTTTGTGAGTTTATTAGTTTTTAACCAGAAGATGATCTATATCATTATTGTTTTGAAATGATAACCTGTAAAAAAAATTATCTGGAATGATACTTGGGTTTTAGTGTAATTGAGAACCCTTGATCAGAAGTAATTTTATTGAAACTTATTTTTGCATCAAAATGATCATACATTGGGTCAATGATTGCAAATCAATGGACATAAAAAGGTCTATAGTGTTTTTAGAAGAAGAAAATAGGATAGGCTGGATAATGCTATATTGTTCAACCAAACCTTCTTATGTTCACCTTGTTGGTTACTAGGAAAACCTTCAATGATACAGGGTCTGGATGTTTTATGTTATACAGTTTACTAGAACAATCTTCAAGAATACAGGGCCTGGATGTATGATATTATACAGTACTGGCTTGAAGTATTATATATAGCAGTGATGGTATGTGAATGCATACTTCACATTGAATGCATTTGACACCAGAATTCAGTAATGAGCCGATTATATTGATTATTGAAGTCAATAATTGAAAAGGTCAAACCGATTGATTTTCAATGATAATTGATGATTTCATTGAAAATCAATCGGTTTGACCTTTTCAATTATTGACTTCAATAATCAATATAATTGGCTCATTACTGAATTCTGGTGTCAAATGCATTCAATGTGAAGTATGCATTGAAAATAATTTACTCTTATTAATTTTATTGTATGATTGATGATAATCTAGAACAACAAAATAATGCTTAGAAGTTGCCTCTTATCCATTTATTATAAAATAATGAAACCTAATGTATGGCAGGTTTTCAGTCCCGTAATATTGAAAACTGATTATGCAGTCATTCATAAATGAATTTACTATTTCTGATTACAAACTGATTATCGATAACAGGTTTTAACCAGTCGTCCATCACATCTAATGTATAGTTAAGATCTCTTTCTATTGATTTAAAGATAAAAAGTGTTCTCCCTTTTTTGGGTATTCAGTCCATTAAAATTATAAACCAATAATGCAGTAAAAGTTTGGATTAATAAATCACTTTTTACATAATGAATTAAGAATCTAGAGATTGATTAAATATATGAAAATGTTTGGAACCAATTCTTTTCTAACCAAGTTTATAATATAAAGTTATTTTATATAAGCTTACATGGTACTTTCTTGTCAAGTTTTCTTCTTCAGCTATTTCCTATTAGTGTCATTCCAGTTAGTGCCAGACAGGATATTTGTTTAATAGGGAAAGCTTGGACACTTTCAATCTGTCAATCTCAAGACTTTCCAACAAATTAATCAAGATAAACAAAGATTACATAAGCTACTGAAAAAATTTGAATGTGACGTATTATCCTGCTTGTCAAGACATTGATTCTGTTGGCTCATATGTAGCCAAGAGCCAGACAAGTCTGGTCTTAAGGCTTACAGTGGTCGCAGGCTCTGGTCATTTATCACCTTGACAGGGACATGTAATGTGATTACTGACCATGACAGACGCTATTCATGGTCAATGAATCCCTCTGGCCTAATTAATTCGGCTGAGGCCAGGGTCACTGAGGAGGCTTACAAAATTGCTGTGAAATTCTGGAAAATCTGTATTTAATGGGTCCATCCAATCATTTACCACATGATTTAAAAATGAGTGATTTTTAAAGCATTAGGGTTTCGAGAAAGATTGCTTTTATAGAACTACAAGTGTAAAATAAAGTAATGGCTATGAACATTAATAGCCATTTGAAAGAAAATATAAATAAAACAAGACAAGATGAGGAAAATTGGCAATTTCTTCCTGAATAATTGATATATATTTTTAAGATAGGCCCCTCTAAATCACTGAAGCCTTGAAACTTGTTCTACTTCAGGTAAAAATTATTGAATGAAAAGTTTATTGGAAATTTTAGAAAATATTCACCAAAGTGACAAAAGATGTTCCAGATTACGTTGGAACAGTCACAGTCTGTGTAAGGGAAGTTATTGATTATCCCAGAGAAAGATGTAATATTGATGATTATTTAATTAGTTGTGCTACACAAATTCCTAGATATAAATGTACCATCTGCTTAATCAAAGGACTCTGTAGGTTCCAGCTGTCCAATGCAGACCTGGAGGGTTCACCCAAAGTTAAACATTTAGATCAAACTATACAATTTCTGTAGTATTAGATACAGTTGAATGTACACTGTCTATATCCGGGTAGACAGGTGTCCATTATGTATCTTCATTCATACAAGAGTTTGGCTTTCATCATCAGCTGGACCAATTATATATGTGCTGATTTCATTACACTCAGTTTCCCTTCACAAAAGATTTTCTCATTGAAAATCAATAATTATAGATTTTATAAGGCTGGCTTTGAACACAGGCAGTTTGGAGGACATTTCTTTGTAGTAGTTTTTGATAGTTCTCCAGTGAGGAAAGATGGATTTGGCCTTGCTTTACTCTGATTGTGTGTGTTTGTGTTCTCCAACAGGTATGTTTCTTTGTCAGAATGATAAACAGACAAGTTTGATAATCATTTGTACGTGTTTTAGTTTATTAGATCTTTCAACAAAAAGGAAACATTTGTTTAGATACCCGGATAGATATTGGTCATGTTCATTTTGAATTTGTGTTTTCTTGAAACAAACTATATATATATTAGTAAACATTTTATCATAATGAATGATCATGTGAAATTTGATTATTTTTGCAGCTAATTATTGACTATTGAAATAACAGTTAAAACACAGTTTTAAGTACAGATTCGCCTTTTAATGCAAACATTTAAATATAATAAGTTTTAAGAAATGTGTTTTCCGGTCTTTAACTTGAAATGGATTTAATCTGTCTGTTCCCCCATGACATGGTTAGTAATTAGAGGCAATTGCCTCCAACGAGATTAAATGTCAAAGACTGGACAATGATGTAATCCTTAACTTGACCAGGAATCACCATGAAATTAACATGTTCCTGGTAATCGTGTTGTCTGCCTGGTTTCTGATGTTTCCAGTAGATTCAAAGGCACTGGTCAACTTCTGACCACCCTAGAACATGTATTTATCCTTGGGCGATCTGCAATGGTCATTCATTGTTTACTCTGCAATTTTCTACAGTGAGAGAGTTGGTCATCAAAGAGGCCCTAGCCTATCTGGTGCATACATCTAGTGGTCAAACCTGTGTAATTATGTTAGTCCAGGCAGAACAGGGAGATATGGAGCAGGATCGAGTTCTTACCCTGTGGTCATTTCTCTTGTCCAGCTGGTCAGTTCTGAGCAGACCTGGTAATGAACTGGCTGTAAAACAGGTCTTTATTGACATCTGGGGTGATGAAAAGGTGGTTAAATCTAAGATTGTCTTGATTTGAATTGTTGTTTCCTAAATACCAGTTTTTGATGTCTACATAAATTTTTATCACAAACTGGCACCGATCATGGTTTATAGTTTGTGTTGTAAATCTACTTGCGTTTAAAAGAAAGTTAAGAAAATAAATTCTGATCTGAAAATTTTAATTTATTTGAACTCCTGAATGATTTTGAAATAAAATGATGACTTTTATGGGAATTTTTTACTTAAAATATAAATTTGTTTTCTATCGATAACCCATGTTGCCACCTTCCTATATACATAGGTTGATAAATACACAGCTGTCAATCTCTCAAATCTACTATGAAAGAGACCTACTTTATTCTACAGGTACATCTCCAGTGAGAAAGCATGTGAAATGCATCTGAAATATATTTGCTTAATTCATTTCACCCTATTTATGTATTAAATAATCTCTAAATAATTAGGACACCTTTTGTAGTAACTTAGAGATCTTTCTCGACACCAGGATGCAAAGTTTGAATTTGTGTCAGTTTTTATTTGAATGATGACGGTTTTCTAGAACGGATTTGTAAATTTCGGTCAAAATCTTGGACAGCTGACAGTTATGTAATCATTTGGTGGTACATTACATGTCTGTTCCACATAATCTCAGTAGATAGTATAAGGATGTTATCTGTAGAAGCATGTTGTGCTGTATCACAGCCCTTATTAACACTAGATGGCCAATGTCCAATTACATCACACATCTGACCTGCTCTTTACTGGTGGCTAGGGTCAAGGACCACCTTATCACAGCAGCCTGGCTCAATCTAACACTGCCAGATAGGGAGTGATGATGAGGAAACTTTTATCACCTTTTTCACACACTATCCTTACCGTACCATTTTAATGCCAGATAGGAAAGGGCGAAGTGGAATCTTATGACCCTTTCAAAAGCAATCTTGACATTTATGTGACATCAGTTTGTTCTGACAATGGCAGTGAATTTCAATGAAAGCTTTTAGATCTGTTGGAATCTGCCCAGTAGATAATACTAGTTGTCCATTCCGGCTGAATATTTTCCCCGAATAACAAAACAGGATGATTTAGGAAAATAAATAGTTTATGTAAAATTGTTCATGAATGGGTTTTTTTTTTATGTTTACAGCTTATGACATGTCAACTCCAATCGTGCGCCGTCGTCAGTCCGAGGCTGAGAAGAATGTCAACCGTCTCCGTAACTGTATGCCAGAAAAGTTTTCTACCCTAGTCAAGATGCATCTCTCCTTCCTGCTAGATCTGGATGGCACAAAGCTTGAAGAAATGTTCCTTGAAACTAACGAAAAACATGAGATCACCAAACGAAAGCCTTCCACACCATTCTCAAAGAAAAAAGGTACAGCTGAATCTGAGTTGATACATATCTCTATGTGAACAGATTTTTAAAATTAAAGAAATGTCCAAATTTAATATGGCTCAAATTTTAGTTCAGAAAAGGACTGTAAAAAACATCCTGCTTTATAGAATACAAATAATAATCTTTGAAAAATGAGACAATTGAGAAAAACTTTCAAACTGTATAACAAGAGAAAAAAAATCATATTCATCTATAAGTTCTTGCTCATTTTTTTATTTCATTTTACTAATCTTTTTTATTTTTGTTACAGAAAAGCACCAACCCCAACCAAATCTGTTTGGTGCTTCGTTAACCCAGGAAAACGTATCACAGATATACCAGCTCATCGACTTTTTGGGCAGACCAGACAGTACGTAGTGTTTTTGAACAAAAATCTATACAGAAAAAAAATTAACTTCAAAGCTAGTTATTCATATACACGTAGTGTACATTTTCATTGGGAAAACAAGTGACTCAATCTAGAGACTGAAAAGGGCAAAAGTTAAACTGCAGCGAACATTTCCTGAAACACAGTATTCAGATTCAAGACAGAAATGTATTACTTGTTCTTTGTTAATAGTTATTTCTGAATCATCAAGTTGAAAATTGTTTCTGAATAGTTCAAAAAATTGAATTTTTGTTGTACTTTTTAGATATCCGAACAGAAGGTCTGTTCAGAAAGACAGGAAATTTTGCACGCCAAAGGCTTTTAAAGGAGTGGCTTATCAGTGGGACCGATCTTGGTTTGGACCACGGCACATTCTCGCCGCACGACTGCGCTACAGTTCTGAAGAACTTCCTCGGGGAGCTTCCCGAACCTCTACTGACAGAGAAACACTACCAGGCACATCTCCAAGTAACCAGTAAGTACTAACATACGACATAGCAGAGATAAAATGATATGCAGGAATTGTATTATAAAAAAAAAAAAAAAAATCGTGATACAATATTTGTTACATCACATGATCTAACTGCAGAATGGGTCACAAAGAAGAAGCCATAAGATGTTTAACCCTGCTTATATTTATTTATACAATTACTCAAATTTCAACAAAATGCAATTGACTTAGCTGATTGAGTATGTAATCAAGTTGACAATACTTTCAGTTGATCTTCAAGATAATTAAAGACTTGAAACCAACAATTGTAGAATTTATGCGGTAAACTTCATACTTTAAGAAATAAGCTACAGAGCTGTTCAGTATTGTACAAGTCGATTTTAAACAAATACTTCATTACTGTATTTTACAGCCAACTCACCATTTGAAGAATTATTATCATGAATATTTTTTCAATACTGTTTATTGCTGACTTTTACACGTCTGTAATTTTCCTCCTTCTTCTGCAGACATGGGCAAGTCTCCCGTACTAGAGAAAGAGAAGTTGCGTGCTCGCAGTAAACAGATCAAGACACTGCAGTTACTCTTCCTCCTTCTTCCACGTAACAATGTGCTCCTCCTGGAGTGTCTCATCGACCTCTTACATCGCGTGACCAAGGTGTCCGAGAACATGATGACCGCATCATCTCTAGGCACTGTGTTCGCTCCCCACCTCCTCTGTCCAAGAAAGGTAGGTTGGATTCCAGCTCCAATCAGAATTGTAAAATCTTCACTTGTTTGCATTTATTTTATAGAGATGAAAAAATTATAATGCATTTGTAAGGGAAATAATGCTGTTAGATAATCGCTATTACTTATGTTAACCCATAATTATTCATTGATGCAAACACCTAACAGTGGACTTTTCCAGTATGTTTTTTGTTAGGTTTACCACAGATATTTGATACTGTGATGTAACTTCATAAATAAATGTTAATCAATTTTCTGTATTCCATGAACAGATGTCCCCGGAGGAACTGCAGAATATCTCCCCTGTCATCACACAGGCTGCTTCCTTTATGATCGAGAGTGGCACACAGATATTCAAGGTCCCCCGAGAGCTTGCGGCTGACATTGCCAACTTCTGGCGGGAGATGGAGGATCCCAACAAGCATATCTTTGACCCAGTTGAAGAACAGGAGAACACAAACACCAACCTCTCAAGTGCTAAGAAAAAGTATGGCAGTACTCAGGCTATCAACACTGTCATCGCATTCGCTGAAAGGAAGTCATCAAGTGATTCAGACACCAACCAGGACACACAGGTGGCGCTAGCACAGCTTTACGCACATGTTCAGAGCATGCCTGATTCTTCTAAAAAGAAAAAGCTTTTAAAGCAGGTAAGCCCACTTAAAACAATCTCACATAACATTCTTTAACTTTAATGAAAGTGCAACTGGTAAAAAAAAAATGGCAATTATCATTAAGATCAGCAATAAATAGTTTCTTAATATTTTTAAATGCGATTAATCTGAATCATGTAAAAATTGAAAATAGCAATATTGAAGATTTTTTTTAATCATTTATGGTAATATCTTAACTGTAACAAGTTTTAGTATAATAAAAATGTTGGGTAAGATATCTCAAGGGAAAAAATAAATGCCTTCAGTAGAAATCCATTGAACTTATTAGGTAAGTTTTCCCATGATTTTCATGCAGGCGTTTAATAGTTTTTAATGTCTTTTGTAGTTTAATAGAGCTTCACAGACGCCAAACACTACCAACACACAATCTGCCACCAAGTCGAAACACACGAGGAGTCGTACATTTGGGTCACAGATAAAGAAACACTTCCCCAGTTTCCACAAAAATAAGCGACATGGTACAAGTGAGACCACGACCTTAACCTCCGACCTTCCTTGGTCCATGACCTCTACCATCAACATTGACCAAATGGATGACAGTGTATTTGGAACGCCCATTCAGAAAACAAGAAAATCGGTAATTATATTTAACATTAAGTAATGTATTCCAACCTAAATGGTGTTTGGGAGACATTTTCTTGACATGCATGTGAATGTTGTTTGCTAATACATATTGAACAGAAGTTAAGAAATCACTATCATTAAATGTTTATGTGAGTCATAAGTATGTTGATACAGGAAACTAAAATACAGTTGAAAGGATTTTTTTCCTACAAAATATGTCAAATGAGTTTTCTATATTTTGTATCTATCGATCATTTGATCAAACTTGTTTTGTTAAGTACGTAAAATAACATTTTACCTTTTTTATTAGTTTAATAATGGAAGCCCTGCCGTCCATATAGTTGACATGAAGAAATCTCCTGAAACCCATCGCCGACCCAGAAAGAGGTTAAGTAGTGAGGGCAGCGATGGAAGCCTCCCAGACAAACGTCCGACCCCAGACATGTTACCGTCCACAGAGAACGAGATTGATTACATCATTAAAAAACACCCAGAGAGACGGATGTGTCCCTGCACCACACCCGATCGTGTCGGCAAACCTATCGCCATGGTTTCTCCAATCACACACTCACCAATTTCGCAGTCTGTCAAAAAAGTTCCCCCTATGATGCAGGTAACTTATAGCTCTTATTTCAAAACAAGTGTTCTTTCCTTTAAAAAGAAAGAATTTCAAAATATATTTCGCACCTTTCATTCATGAGCAAGGTAATTTATTAAAAGAAACTTTACATCACGCTGTCCCAGGTACCCACTGGCCAAATATCAAGGTTTAAAATATATTTCGCAAACTTTCTATTCATGAGCAGAAAATGGAGGATTAGAAATTTGTATAAGGAGAACAGACAAAAGAATCAAAAATAAGATTTCTGAACAGGGATTGAAGCCCATTTATATTTTATTTACATAAAAAAACATGTCTTTATAGTCATCTGGCAATAATATTTACATGTTTTGTTGTTTCAGAAAAATGCCATGACACCCAGATCGCGAGCACCTTTGTTACTGTTACAGTCGCCAAATCTCACCTCCAGGGAAAGTTTGCTGTAAAAAACAACTTATTTCCCTAGGATTCATCTCTGGACTGACATTTCTTTTGATCAGGACTGGTCTACTGCTTCCTACAGGGATGACAAAAATACTGCATCAGTGCTATCGGGGTAGAAGCAGGTCAATCTGGTCAAGGGAGATCACTCTTGAGACAATGCAATAGTGCTGCTACGGTTTGAGCCCTGTTTGAGATAAAGTGCTGTTAAGACTTTGTAATCACGATATTATGTAATTGTGTACCTATAAGTGATATATTGTTTGTAAATTAAGTTGTACAGAAGAGTTTGTTTGTTCAGCCTGTAAATACACAGCTGTATAGATTATGACGCCTAGCGTTTAAGCCTTTCAAAAGTAAGAAATATAGAATTATATATAAATTTGTATATGTTACTGGATAATTTCCACAGCAATTATTTCCAATTCAGCAAATCACATATCAAAAAGAAAGAAAAATTCATTGATAAATATAAGAACAAAATTCAACAATGATAGCAGGAAAATTTGATTTTTGGAGAGGAAATTAAATAAGAAATTAAAAATTAAATTAATATATGTAACTCTGGTCATAGAGAAAAAAACCTGTCATATGTGATATAATTACTGTGGAAATTCATCTTTTTGTTGTGATTTGCTTCATGTGATATAATTAGATTTTTATTTTGCTTAAGCTAAGTAAATAGAGCCTTGCCATGGTTATATAAGTTATTTTGTTTCTAAAAACAAGTCTCGTACAAATGTATTTCCTGATGTATTAATCAAAGACACCAAACAAATTTAAAAAAAAAAAACTGCATTTGGAAAACTGCATTTAGTTATTGTCAGACTTGGTATTCATAAATTAAGATTTATAGTTAGAAATGTAATTTTATTTCAGGTATCATAATTATTGATCAATGCAATGGACATCAACCGTCAGTACTTCTGGTATTTGATCACATTGATAAGTGCTGTTTAACAGAGTCGATGACTGTTTGATAGAAATATGTGTGTGCATGTGTCTTGCTACTATTTAATCTATATTAACAGTATAACCTACATATATTCAAACCTGGCTGCGATTTCTCAGAGAGAAAAATAAGAAGGATTTAAGCTATTTTAAAAATTATTCGACATTGGAAAACTTGAACATTTTATGTATCATGTTCTTAAAACATATTTAGGTTAAAGGAAAAATGCTAAATATTGATAAGTAGTCATTATTGAGAGAAACGAAAACTTGGTGCTTGGGTTACAATAATTCTAGGATATAATTATACAAACAAAAGTATAACCTCAAAATATTTATGAAAGTTTACTTAATGCAAAGAAATTAAGGACAGTATCATTTTATTTCATGTTTGTTCCTAAAACGATTTTTATATTTGATGGGTGTTGAAATTCTGCATAATTTTCAAAATTTCCCTTTTCAATTTATTGTTTATATGAGACCAGCTTATTGCTTGATTTTTTTTCTTCAAATTGGTGCCATACTGAAAAAGCAGTAGAGTAGATTTTTAGAAACCAGAAATGTTCACATGTATAAATATCTCCCATAAATTAAAGATAATTGTACAGATATACCCTTCAACCATAGGCTAGATATTTAAACACATATACTTCACATCAAATACTCATGGTCTAGTCAAAAACTCAAAAGAGACACATTTTCTATATTTTACTTCCGCTTTCTTTCTCTTTCCTTTTTCTATCTCTGTTATCCTTCCTTCCCTCTTACTTTTACCTTCTTTCAAATACAGTTGGCATTGCATTTACTGTTATCGAACAGCATTTTGTACTTATTAATACAAGTGTATTAAAAAATCTTAAAATTTATTTTGTGTTTGTTTTATTCCTGCAGAATAGTGATATAATTAAAACTATTCTTATCCACTACAAAATATATACAAGAACCTTTATTTAGTGTTGAATATGGTCAACAAGAACATACCGTAACAGATATAACCGTTTCGTGAAGAGTATTGTAAAGAACTGGGATCGGATTTTAATATTAAGGATTGGTATCGGACAATTTCCGCTTTAAGTTCGACTTTAAAGGTGGTTGGCAAACCCTAAATGTGGTTTCAGTGCTGATGTGACTGTAGCACAATCAACTTGATTTATGCTTGAGTGCGATGTCTGTCAGGCATCAGCAATTTAAACAGCTTCCTTTGAATTACCAAGAGGCCTACAGTTATTACAGTGACCAGTAGCATGCTGGGTGAAGAATTATCAAGTTTGTCAAATAAATGGCATTGACCCACTTTCAATGTCGCAAACACTTCAAATAACTTCTTCTAAATAGCAAAGAGTCCTAGCATGGTGATATTTGGCAAATAGTATGCTTGGATAAAGAATTGACCCACTTTCAAGGTGACAATGGTCAAACCTGTTAAAACGTTGAAACAACCTCTGATGATCAACCCCTAGGCCTGGGGTAATGATACTGGGTCAGCAGTATGTTGGGATGAATGGCAATCAAGTTTATTCAATTGAATGACCTTTTGGTGCACCTTCAAGTTCACAGGGGTCAAATTAATAAAATTTAAACTAAATTTAAACAATTTCTTACGAATTATAAATACTCCCTAAGGTTTAAGCCAGCACTATGGTTTGTTGAAGGACTATCAAATTTATTCAAATGATTGACCTTGACCCATTTTCAAGATCACACAGTTGTCATTTTTTTTTAATCTTAAAACATCTTCACAAAATAATCAAGAGGCAAAGGGTGATGGTATGTTGCTAGTAGCACGCTGGGGGTAAAGTTTTTAAAGGCTTGTTCAGATTGTAACGGAGGTAATTATTTTTTCAATGTCTCCGCTAGGGGTCAAACCCAGGACTTCTGATTTACTGTTCTGACGCTCTACCGGAGAATAAGCTAAAGAGGAAATTCTCCCTAACCAAATTAAAAATAGTATTTTACCAGGGTGACAGGATGATTACCTCGACCGACTTTCAAGTTCACATTGGTTAGAATTGTAAAATTGTTTAAACACTTTTTGGAATGATGAAAAGAGCCATGTGTTGATATGCCTTGTAACATTCTAGTATCAATAGCTATCAAGTTTGTTTAAAATAATGTCATTTGCCTGTTTTTAAGATTACTTGCGTCAAATTTGTTTAAACCTTAAAGCAACTTCTGAATTACGAAGAAGTCAAGTGTCATGATAAATAGCCAATATCATGGAACAGAAGTAGAAAGCTATCAAGTTTGTCGTTAAGAATAGCTGCCGGAGCCGTAGATCATTGTCCTATCGATTAACATTTTTGACATTGTATCCAGCCTATTGAAAGTTTGTGATACAGAAACCTGGGATGAGGTCGCGAAACACATCGTTATATCTCAAAGAAGAAGAAGAAAACTGAATAATAAGATAAAAAACGGCCCCATGTTTCCGATAAGAGGAGGCCGGTGTCAGCACTCCTTTAGGGTGGCACGATTTACCCAAAAACATCCAAAAACACCCCCAAAACATCCAGATAAGACCACAAAAAAACACAGACGACACTTAAATAATATTCAGTTAATATTATAATGTAGTAACATAATTTTCTGCAAACGCAAAATAGATTGAAATAATCAGAACCTTAAAAAACAAGTACGAAGTTAACACATCCTCTTTATAACAAAAGCACTTATCAAATACAAAATAAACATAGGCTATCTATGTCAAATAATGTGGAAAGAGTGAGAAAAATACCATGTTATATAAAAAAAAAAATCGATCTTTGCAGGGGAAGTAACTCAAATACGTTATAGTTAATATTACTCGCGTCACTATAACTATCCAATTAACGGGAAACATCATTATGTTACATAATGTCAGGTAGCAGAAATATAAATATCTATGTTTATTTTTGGGTCTTTTTTGGTAAATCGTGCTGCCGCTCCCTTATATCCCTTTTATCACCGATGCGTCCTAATTAATATACGTGCAATCACCATATAGCTGTCAAACCTCGCTCATTAGCAGGGAGGATGTCTCAATTTTACCAAATTTTAAAATCTCCCTCATTCAAGTCCATACTCACAAAAACTCAAATGTACTTTCTCCCTCATTGAAGTTTTCAGAGGTTGACACCTATGAATTACCACACGTTCATCTCTCAAGGTACAATGTGATGGTAGACTGCAGGAGAATAACTTGATGGCCAGAGCTATCTCTTTGAGAAGTGGCATGGTTAATGATATACACACTTAATACATTATTAATTTGAAAATAACCAGTACTCCTCTCATATTGAAATTCATATATTAAGGGGTTTCATTCACACCCATTCCTTCAGTGTCTTCTGTAGTTAAGACCATTTGGGAGTTCCACCTTTCGGCCCCTAGCATCACCAATGAGTCCTGGAAGGACTGAACGGCTTATGGTGCAGTGTAGTTCAGGTTTTTGGCACAGTATATCAATCAATTATTATTGGTGTATCTCCCAAGTCTACCGACCATTCGCCTCTGCATGATGACTGGGCAGCATAACTTGATGAAGTTTTAACCCATAACGCATTCTCGTTACCCTAGGGGTTACGCTCACTTTCGCTCTCTACACCCCTGGAATCATCCTCGATACCCCAGGGGTTACGCTCACTTTCGATCTCTGCACCCCTGGCATATGTCATAACAAAATTGAATTCTCACTGTGTACCACTTTGTGGATGAGGCGAGAAGACTAGTTCGATCCTTTGATGTACATCAAAAGAATCTCGCTGTCGCGTAACGGTAAAAAAAATTGGCGTTGAAGTTGGGTATCGCTCCTTTGTAATCTTCAAAGGACAAGTATCAGCCTAGTGATTGGTCAGGTTATTGTATCCGACACCAATTAAATTGATAGCCATGTGCCTTCAATTTTGCTATGACATCTTCCAGGGGTGCAGAGAGAGAAAGTGAGCGTAACCCCTGGAGATCGAGGATGATTCCAGGGGTACCGAGAGAGAAAGCGAGCGTAACCCCTGGATATCGCGGATGATTCCAGGGGTAAAGAGAGAGAAAGTGAGCGTACCCCCTGGATATCGAGGATGATTCAAGGGGCACAGAGAGAGAAAGTGAGCGAAACCCCTGGATATCGAGGATGACTCCAGGGGTACAGAGAGAGAAAGTTAGCGTAACCCCTGGATATCGCGGATGATTCCAGGGGTACAGAGAGAGAAAGTGAGCGTAACCCCTGGATACCGAGGATGCCCATAACGACCCCCTATAAAAAGCTACATCCGCCGTAACATTGATTCATGTGATAGTAGATCCATTTTTTGGCCAAACCTGACTGAAGTTGCAAGCAAAATGTGTTACGTCATTATCAAATATGTGGATGACGTAGAATGTTACCGAAAAGGCAAAAGGGATAAAATAATTCACTATGGATACCATATATGTCAGCATGCTAGTTGTGGTTTCAGGTATATTTTCACCAGCCTGCTAATGTACAATGCAGACAAAAAAATATCAAGTATGTTCAACAAGTTTAATGAATTCCTCAACATATACATTTTTTCTGAATAGTGTTCAGATTTTAAAAGTCAGGTATATTTGTGTAAAATATGTTTTACAAAAGCGTGCCGTGCTGTATTTTGGGAGGGAAAAACGGTAAAAATCACATAAAATTGTGTTATAAAGTAGTTAAATAAATTTTCTTCCCTCAATAGTACATACGTAAAATCTTCCAAAAGCATATAAGAAATAACAATTTTGTATAGTTATAGCACAATCCCCTTGTTAACTCCTCTCCCTTCTCGTATTGTTAACGTTCACAAAGATTATCATGTGTTCACACGCCCGACCCTTGGTCACGCTTACAGTATTCCTCCCTTCGTTCACCCTGTACTCCCCTCCTTGTTCGCGTTCACGTATTTCTTGTCAGTTAGAATCTCCCCCTAGTGCCGTACACGGTCGGATTTGACCAGAGTCCTCTTAAACTGATGGCTGTGAGTCTGCGGTTCCTGCAACGAAGAAAGCATTGCAGTCCTCGAATCGACGACGACATTGATTTCATCAGTCATATCCTCGAACTCGTCGTTCTTCGGGTGTCTTAGCCAAAGTTGTGGACGCGAGCGTTTACCGCTGAAATGAGCTTCTCCACCATGTTCACGCTGGCGTTTAAAGCCATCTTTATTTTCATGAGTGATTTCATTGCCTTTGCATTCAATATTTCGAATAGTTTTAGTCGGAGTAACGATTTTTGAGGAATTGGTAAGTCTTCTTTTGTAATTTTGCACACAGTAAGTAGAACTCTCTTTGCTATCGGGGTGTTTTAAACCAGGTTTCTTCACTTCAATGACCTCACCGTGGCGTTTGCCTAAAGTGGTGCTAGAGTGACGTGGTGCTGGTGCATTTCCTGTAGTTGATGCCCTGCAATGACATTAGACACGTTTAATGTAAAGACAAAAATCCGCCAATTACTAGGATACACTACTGGAATACTTTATGTCGAGGCTATGGTTGAGTAAACAATTTCCAAACGTTAATGAAAAGTTCATTTTTCACAGCCAATAAAATTTCCATATGACGTTTCGATCACTTGACTAGTTAATGCACACAAAGGTGTAAAATGTGAACGAGATGTCCACAAAATCGATGTCGATTTCGGCTACGCTGTAAACGTATGCACACTAGTTAGAATATATGTACCGGAATGACCCGATTCAGCAACGCCTTGTTTGATTCTTGGTCATAGATGTGAGAGAGTCTTTGAGCATCCTTGTCTCGATTCAGAACTGGCCCACTGCGGCGGCTTCCTTTATCTGACGCTTGAACAGATTGCTCTCTCTGTCCAAAATTTTAGAGTTATCCCAGTCAATCACATGGTTTTTCTGTGTGGCATGGTCTGTGATTGCCGATTTATTTATCTGGGACTCTGACTGCTTCCTTTCTGATCTGGTGAATTCCTACCTTCTTGGGTTTCTGTATCTTTCCGGTGTTCACCAAGGCGGACCCCAAATCGCTTTCCACTTTCTCCAATATACGACCAGTTTTTGCATCCGATTTTGTATACGCATTCTGCGACAGATATACTAACTTTTTCTACATACGTTTACAGCGTAGCCGAAATCGACATCGAGTTTGTGGACAACTCGTAAACTGTGTACACCTTAGCGTGCATACGCTTCACTGGTCATTTGTCTGATGAAGGTGACAGTGTGCATATCGTATATAATAAGTCATGGAAACGTCACATAGAAAATATATTGGTTGTGTAAAAAGAACTTTTCATAATCCATACTTACCAACCTGAAGAAAATGTTTAGAAATTTCCAAACGTGCTGTTGGACATTAGATCACAGGGAAGAATTTCCGAATCGTTGATTGCACAATACTCGTAGCCTACCATTTAAATAATATATGGCTTTGGGCTTTTTAAAGGTGCTGAGATCATATTTCACTCGTTTCTCACCATGTGGACAGTAGTACGAATCAAGACTTACCATGCATGGTTGTTCTGTGGACAGCTTTGCTTAGGTGGCAAGAAGTGATCACAGCATACGCCGACCTGTAAGGTTAAAATATTCAGAGTTTAGTGTAAGAAGTCCTCAAAAGTTAAATTAAAATTGACATGTGAAGTTCTGAATTTTCATTAAAAAATGTGCACGAAGAAAATGTTTTTGTTTAAAGCACACGAGGAGAGGCACAACAATGATAGCCCACGTGGAAATAGGCGGAAAGGATATAGCGCACGAGGGAAAAGGCGCTACAGTATCTTTATCAAACTTTAATCAAGATTTTTTGAGTTCACCTAGACGACTCTGCGATTAGAAACATTGTGAAAATCGATGGAATAATACATCATTCCAAATCTCAATAAAAAAATAAAAATTACAAATACCGTTGATGGATTGTAATATAAATAACACATTAACCTTATTTTAGATAATGCGCTAATGGCATAGATAGGATGCATGTTGTTTACATTCATACAATGGTTGTATAATAAACAACCAATGAAATTATCACATATTCCTGGCAGGGACGACGAAAAGGCACCAAGTTTTACTTACACAAGTCAAAATGGCGCCTGTCGGAAAAGCTATACCAATTTCATTTTTTTTTTTTAATTAAGAAAAAAGGTTTAACTGTATTTATAAGTCGTTGATTTAAGCGTTAATATATATTTGATAGGATATATTCCAAAGTCGATAATATATTTCGAAATTAAGGGGTTCACGTTCTCTTAGTGAACGAAGCCCCTAGAACTCGGGGGTGTATTCCGTCTTTGCGTATTGCAGAGTTATCTTCTCTTGTGAGCAGGCATTGATTGTAACGTCATCGGTTTGTGAGAGTAACGTCATCAATATTTGAGAAAACGATGTAATTTTATCACACAAACCACTGACGTAACAATCAATACCTGCTCACAAGAGAAGATAACTCTGCAAAACGCAAAGACGGAATAGACAATATCTATTAACATAGGTACCTGTCACTGGTGCATTTTTTTATTTTATTTTCCTTTCTCATTTGCGATAGGTAGCTATGCTATGACCTACCTCTGGACACGTGGATGAAGCTGAGGTAGGTTGTACACATGTACCGACAGAATCGTTGAATGATGCACCATCTACAAGTGAACAAAAACACTAGCTTATCCTTTCCAAAAAAATCTATTTGAAGAAACATGTAAAAAAATAAAAAAGCAAGATCCAGAAAAACGATGTTCATTGTAAACAAGACATAATTGTGTTCTGAATAAAAATGCCAAATTGTAAATAAAATGTCTTGTTGTCGGACTAGTGAGTTTCCTCTGAATAGTTTGTTGATAACGTATAATAGCGTTTGAACTACATGTAATTAGGTTCCAGTATAAATGGACCATTATCATGTCTGAACTTGTGTGTTCCAAATGTTTAAAAAAAAAAATTGCGTCCGGACGAAAAAGGTTCCAATGTAGATATGGTATAATTATTTCCGGACTTTTGATATGTTCCAATGTAAAAAAAAAAAAAACTTGTTTCTCAGAGGTGACAATGGAGCTAAGACATAATTGTGTATGGATTAAAGAGGTTACGCTGTACACAATTCGATTCACAATTATATTTGGACTTCATAGGTTCCAATGTAGACAATATAGCATTGTGTCTGGACTATTGAGGTTCCACTGTAGAAAGACATTATTGGGTCCGAACTAACGAGGTTCTGCATTTGAAAGACATAATTATGTCCAGACTAACAAGGTTCCGCTGAAGAACGGCGTATTTATGGCCGGAGTAAAGAGGTTCCATTTTAGTAAGACATAATGTCCAGACTAACGATCGAGGTTCTACTGTATAAAAGACATAATTGCGTCCGGACTAATGCGGTTCCATTGTAGAAAGACGTAAATTGTGTCCAGACTTACAAGGTACCAATGTAGATGACAAGTACTTGCGTCCGGATTAATGAGGTTTCAAAGTAGAAAACAACATTTTGTGTCCGGAGTATTAAAGCAATAATATAGAGAAGACAAATACAGGCAAGGCATCATTGTACCAGAGTAATAAGGTTCCACTGTAGGGATATTATTCGCGGAGCTTCCACTATAAACCTTTTCACCTACCAAGGAAGTGTTGATGTTTAAACTCCTTTGCCGTGTAAGCTTCGTGTTCGAGTCTGATCGGTGACGTCACTGATGTACCCAGAATGCCTCTCTCCTCGTTGTTCGTGACATGCTCATATTTGCAACATTCGTGTTTATTTTCTGGTAAAGGTTTCCTCTGTTTGATTCTATTCCTGACTTCTGAAGATGGTCTTCTCTAGATTATATAATATAAAAAAAAGGCTAATCAAAATATCATTGAACTATTTAAATGATTTTTATATCTTCAATGATTCGCCTGTGGCCAAATGTAGCGTATTTTTAAAATTAAATAAAAACGTTGGAAACCATTACCTTTTCACTTGTATGCTCTTCTAATTAAAAAATGAATATTGTGCTGTTTAATCTCCATTTTACCTACTTTTTTGTTTGATAACATGAACATACTTAATGTGACTTGGTTAATTAGTTGTTGAAGCATTATTTACACAACAAGTTGATAGGGGTAAAGAGGGGGTAAGGGAGATAACTCTAACACAAATAACGATTATACGTTATGATGAGGGTATCATATGACCTTAAGCCACCACGCCCACCTGTACGTGACGAAGAGAATGCTGGTCCCGGCGTGACAGTCGACTCTCTGCAAATCTGTAGTCGGCAGCCCAAGGTTCATCCATGATCGTTAATCTGCATCCAAAAGTAAGATCAACATTTTTTTAATTGCTACACATGTTTGCATGAGATTATGCTTTTTTCATCGCTTGCGAAATATCTGATCTGTTTGGATGATATTTTATCGTTCAACACATATGGTAACATAATTTGTTTAGCGCTACTGGCACGATCGCATGGGTTGGCGTCCGTCCGTCAACTTTTCAGTTGAAAAGCTTCTTCTTAAGAACTAGAAAACCTAGGATAATGATATCTGGCCAGCAGCTACCTGAGATGGAATGCTTTAAGGTTCCCTTATATATGGCATTGGCTTATTTTCAAAGTCTTAGAGGCCAAATATGTTAAAATCTTCATACACCATTATCTCAGGAACCACGAGGTCTAAAGTCATGATACTTGGTGGATAATGGAGGGATTGGTGATTGGTTGTTGGATGACCATCATTGCGAATCTTCCAGGGGCTTAACGATGCGTTGGTCATAACAAAGGAAAGGTTGAGATCATATCCTACTGCCAGGATTGGCTCCAGGTTCCGGGTCCGGCTCTATACACGTCGGGGGCTTAGTGCCTGGTTTAGAATATGGTAATGACTGAAATCCTCAACCAGTAACCATATGATCCAGGGAATAAGTCCACAAGGCCGGGGTCCTGGTTAGGTTTGAAATCCCCACCCAGTGACCATTTGACCGAAAAGTGCGTTCAGTTTCTATGCAGTTCGTCAGAGCTATTTATTTTCCCTCTTGTATTAAACAGAATAAATGAAAATGCTTGAATTTCGGATTTCTAAGGAAATAATCCGTTTATTGGCGTTTTATTAATAAACTTTTGTAAATAAGGGGAGAAAAAAGGAGCCCAAGCATTTCTCGGTATTCAAAGTCCGTGGCTGAGATTTCACAAAAAATCAACTTTCATCAAAACGACAAACGTTGTCAAGACAACGAGTAGATTATTAATCATCAGTATATACATCCTCGATACCCCAGGGTTACGCTCACTTTCGATTTCTGCACCCCTGGAATATGTCATAGCAAAATTGAAGGCTCAGTGTGCACCGCCTTGTGGGTGAGACAAGAAGACTAGTTTGATCCTTTGATGTACATCATAAGAATCTCGCTGTCGCGTAACGGTAAAATGTATTGGCTTTGAAGTTGGGTATCGCTCCTTTGTAATCTTCAAAGGACACGTATCAGACTAGTGATTGGTCAGGTTATTTTACCTGACACCAATCAAATTGATAGCCATGTGCCTTCAATTTTGCTATGACATTTTCCAGGGGTGCAGAGAGCGAAAGTGAGCGTAATCCCTGGATATCAAGGATGTAGTATCTACGTATAAGACCAAATCTGTCCCAGTTAATCAGGCAAATTAAATAACAAACATGAAAGAAAAATTTAAGGAGATGTATACTTAGATACCAAATTTAAAAGACATCCACATTTTAAAATGATGCGTTCAGTGGAAAATACCCAGCTTAGTCGACATATGTGGCATTTTTTTTTTTATCTTTTTCTGATATCTTAAAAATTGGTTTTAGGTCTTACCTCTGTTCGAAAGCTTCATCTAAACTTTCTTGAACGGTTGATTTCACCATCGCAACGTCCACGACATAGATCCCCTCCGCTGTGCGTAGTCTTCGTTGTCAGGAAAATGTGCGACAAATGACGTCATTGTTACTATGACGCTTATTCATCTAAGCGGTAACTGTGACGTCAGTTCCTGTTTTCCAAGTAAAGATATTTGTCACAATGCCGTAAACGGTAGGACATCTCCCCTACCCGTGTGAGAAAAATGAAGCCGGGGTAGTGGTACATTAATTCGACTAGCTCCATATACCCCCTTAAGTTCGACGTAATTTTTGTCCATCACTGCCAATTAATAGTATTTGTTTAATTTGCGTCCATAATTTCACATACCTCAATGTTTATTCAACTTGTAACAAGGTACTAAACGTGTTGCCATGGTTCCGCTTTCTATCAATTTAACGATTTAAAAAAAAACATTTCCCAAGTACATAGAAATTAGCGTAAATCACGCCAGGACCTTTAAGCAAATATCAACTTAAATATTCCCGCTAAAAAAAAAGACAGAAAAAAATAAGCCGAACACAAAAACAACTTTAAACAGACGTGGCGGTAAACTATTTGAATAAAAAATCATGTATGAAGACATTTATAATGAGTTCAGTTAAGAACTTCTGTAAAATCTGAGAATGTTGTTGAGAGTATCACGGTTAATGACAGTGTTCTGGTACATGATCAATCCTCTACACCAGACTCGACATAAGTACACGGTAACGACACTACAGTTCATACTTTACTGCTTTAAAATTATATAAAAAAAACACTAAAATTTCTAGTGGTTAACCTATTTTTGAAACAGCTTATGAATTAGTGGCACACGCTGCATTTTCTGGTAAGTTATTCATATAATAAGTTTGTAGTAAATATATTTTTCTCTTCACGCTTTTGCAACTATTTGCTTTAGAGAATGACCCCTGTCGCCGGTGTAACGTTGAAATCTAACCCCGTTGAAAAGTAAACCGGGGTCAGTTTTCAACGTTGAGGATGGAACCGGGGAACCGTGGAAACCTGACTCTCCTGTTGAAAATGAACCCCGTAAGAGGTCAATTTTCCACGCGTAGTCCGTTGAAAATTGACCGAGGTAAATGGACCTTATAGGATTCCTAGTTTATGTAACATTAACTCACCTTGTCCGTGTCGTACATAGGCGTCCATCGTCCGACAAAATCAGGTCACTGTGACATACTTCTAAATTGATATTATCATGGGGTTTAAAAATATGCACATAATTCGGTTTTACTTAATTAAGTTCATTGCTACCTACATTTGAAAAATTGGCCTACATTATTGATAATTGTCATTGGGTTCAGAAATGAATTTAGAACTGTTTTGCCTAATTATGTCACTGTGACCTAGTTTTGTCAAACAACTGTTTAATGTTACTTTGACTTTGACTTTAAACATATTTTATTAACCAAAATTGGAAAATAGGATTTGGCACAAGTTAATACAACTTATGAAGCCATCTCCTTACAACAATAATTCAAAACAACAGATGATGATATAGACTGTCAATTACAATTCATAGTAGTATGAAGCGATTTTTAAAGTAACACATACACATACAAAAAAACATATTTTAAAGTCAAGTTCATAATCGAAACATGTTAAAATCTTCCACTGGATCTAATAAAAGTTTGCACTTGTTTGAATACATCACAATTTGTATCCAAAGCCAGATTTTCATTTCCAAACAGTAATAATCTCAACGTTAAATGTACATTTAAATGATTTATATGATCAAAAAGTACAGTACGAGCATTTGTGTAAGGTTGACATTCAAAGAAGAAGTGATAGGCATTTTCGCAATGGTAGCCACAATTTATACAATTGGAGTCTTGGACCAAGTTTGCACGGTAAAGATCATGTTTGAGAGGACTGCGTTCGTGTCTTAGTCTGGTATGACGAATGTTTAGTTTTCTGTCACCACGTAAGTAATGAGGGGTACTGTATATGGTATGTTGGGGACAAGAAAGATAAATTAGTAGTAGAGAGTCTGAAATTGGGAATTTTGTAGTTATCATTATTTCTAAGAGCATGTCGGTTTTTTCCTACCTTAGTGGGAAAAAGATTCGTTAGGTAGTTCGGGGTTTGATGCCTATCCATTTTGTAGATTAACTGAAGTTTTCGTCTTCTTCTTCTTTCCGAAAGTAATTCAAGACCAGTTTCTGTGTATAATGATTCATTTCTAGCATATGACGGTAAACCTGTAATTATTCTAGCTACTTCACGTTGAGCCCTCTCTAACTTTTCAGAATCGACCAGAGTACATCCATCCCAAACCTCATGCATATTCTAAAACTGGTAATATATAAGTTTTGTAAATTCTTAAGAGAGCATCCCGCTTTATATTTGAGTTTTCGCAAAAACAAAAATCATTACCTATTTATAGATTTCACTTACATGATCTGACCATTTTGCATCTGAATTAAATGTAACTCCAAGGTGCCTATGCATGCTGTTAAAATTCAAAATATTTCCATCAAAAATCAGTTCAAGATCTTCATCTATATCATTTGAATTTGATATGAAAATAACTTCCATCTTATTTGGATTGAAAGTAACAAGCCAAGTGTTAGCCCACCTATTTAAAGCTTCCATGACCCTTTTCAAAACTGTTTGTATATCTAGACAAGAAGATGAAGAAGTTTTTAAAGACGTATCATCAGCAAAGAGACGTGTTGTATGTAGATTCTAGTACTTCGGCGATATCATTTATATAAATTAAGAAAAACAATGGTCCAAGAATTGAACCCTGACGAACTCCAGCACAGATCAAACCAGCATCAGAAGAAGAATTATTTATAAACACTTTCTGCTGTCTGTTGCTTAAGTAGTTCTCGATCCAAGAAGGAAATTTCCTGAGATACCATATGATTTTAACTTGACTAATAAACCATTATGCCAGACTCAAAAGCTTTTGAGATGTCACAGAAAACTAAACAAGTATACTTCTTTACTTCTAGATCAAGACAAATATTATGATATAATTCGATTAATTGATACACAGCTGAGTGGCTAGGCATAAATCCTGATTGGTACTGATAAAATAGAGAGTTTTAAAAAAATGCAAGCACTTAAAGATAACCCTTTCAAATGTTTTATCAACCGTAGACAAAAGAAAAATCGGTCTATAGTTAGAAGGAGAATGCCTATCACCTTCTTGAAAAGCCAATGTAAATGTTAATTTCTTATCCTTATGACCATGTTTTGATAATGTAGGTCAAATTTTGAAAACTAGGTCACAATGACCCAACTCCGTTGTCTTCTGTATAGAGTCGGTAAATTTAGGCGTTAAAGGATCCCCGTACCACTGCCAAAAAAACGTAACTAATTATTGCCGGAATCTGGGTTTTTTCAGCCGTGATAAATTATGAAAAGATAACCATACATTGTGGGACTTTTATGAAAAATAGTAAAGATGAAATAAACATAATACAATCAATAAGTGTGTTCCGAGTGTAAAAAAAAATAGTGGGGCTTAAACCGGGGCCCGTATTCATGAAACCCTTCTCATGCTCAAGCATGGATTTTGTGCTCAAGTCTAATTTCTTGTTCCAGTTATAAATTATTTAAAAAAAAAAATGTTTAAGTTTGGGACAAAAATTGAAGAGACTTATAGCCGAATTCTGTTTTTAATATTGAAATTTAACTTTTTGATCATTGACATGATTCTGGTGAGTTACAAGAAAGCTTTGCTTGAGCACAGAATCCATGCTTGAGCATGGGAACGGTTTCATGAATACGGGCCCGGAATTCGAACCCTGGACTTCGGATTGTTATACGCTATCATTGGAAATCGATTGAGCACCAGCTGGTCAACGGAAAAGTATCCTAACGGAAGTTAAAGGGAGGTAACTGTTGGAAAAACGGCAGTGCAGTGAGACAATGATCCTTAAGTTAGTTGTCCTCCTTTGTAACCCCTTGATGTCAGCTGCACATGTTTCCGGTCCGAATAGTTACCAGTAATTATTTCCTTTTTAAATACATGTACAACAAATATATTCCTCGTTTGCTTGATTAAAAGATTTGCTATCTTAGTCCGTGGTAGCAAACCTTTAATTGTCAATCGGCTAAACGTGGCTGATTCCAGGACTCTTCGGTACATTTCACGATGTAGGTACGGAATCTGCCGAGTTGTGACAAGATTCAAGATTCAAGATTTTTTCTTTACCGTCGCATATTACAAACAAAATAACATTTGCACTGTAGTGCTATTCTTGCGACAAACAAAGGTAAACACATATAAAGTAATTTAACAACAAATATAACAGAATACTAAAATGGAAGAGAGACACAAATTTATACAATACATAGCATATCACATATAAAGTAGAAATAATATCACAAAAGAAAAATTCCTGAGGTGAACATCACTATGTGTTTGTGCAAATTGCACAAGAGCATTGTTGGCCATCCCAGGTACGGAGCAGTCTACGAAAAGTTCGGTAGTCCTCTATCTTTCTGTACTCCGTAGGAAGACTGTTCCACACCCGGGCCTCCTCATATCTAAACGATCTCTTGCCATACATTGTGGTATTCACCCTTGGAATCTTCAGAGTGTTCTCTCTTCTAAAATTATATAAAACATTTCTTTGTTCAATAAGATCATGTATAAATGATGGTGAAGTGCCATTTATAATCTTGAAAGTTTCTATGGCCATATTTTTTAAACGAGCAACATGTAAAAAATCAAGATTGTTACTTTTCAATATTACTAAAACTGATGACGTGTAGTCATTTTCAATAAAACGTAGAACCCTCTCTTGGATCTTCTCCATCTTTCTCGTGTTTGTCAGGTTACAAAAGTGCCAAGCCAAAGGACAGTAGTTCAAATTAGATAGGATAAAAGACTTAAAACTAGCAATCTTTCCTTTCTTTGTAAGATGACTACCTAATCTCTTTAAAACTGCTAATTGCTTGGATGCATTCCTTTATAAACGAGAGATATGCACATCAAATTTAAGAAGGAAATCAATATCTACACCTAAAAGCTTGACACAGTCTTGACATAAAATCTCTACCCCGTTAATGGTAAAAGATGATATTGCTTCATGGGTTTTGTTTCCAATACAAATAGCCTGGAATTTACCTGGATTGACCTTCATACCATTGGAGGAAAACCAATCTATTAGCGTCTTGCTCTCCTCCTCCAGAGTTTTCTTTCAAGTGTCAAGGCAGTTACTTATATTTGATAAGTGACGAGTGCTATAATTGTCAGATTCTCTCTGGGTATGAGCGGCAGTAAATCAGTTTCGTGTAACGTCTCGGCACATTCTACACAGTAAGCTGATATTGGCGATCCCCGAATTTAAGGGACGTACAGGTAAAAAATATTAGTGAATTATGATATATGCCGCATCTGTTGTTTTTTGCCGAATAGTTGAATGTTAAATGTTGGTCTAGCTTTAGGCTTGCCCCAGAATCCATTTTCCCTTTTCAATACATGTTATTTTGGCGAGTAAATTGAATTACAGATGATGTATATTTGATATGTGCATTTATGAGTGTTAACTACTTCAGCAAAGTTACGAATGATATCTAAATCTAAGTGCGGACCATCCCCATAACTCCCTTTTCTACAGTTAACCTCTTCCTACAGTTTAACTCTTCGTAGAAACTTAACTACATAAACTTTTTTAAGATGCCTTTAAGGTATATTCCGAAATTTAAAAATATACATAGAAAAATCCAACTGTCTTAAGTCTGGTTAGCTTAAATGAGTCTTTTTCAAATCGATTTTGTTAAAAAATAAAAATTACAGGTATAGGAATACTTGTGTTGCATCTGAATTGGTTAATTTTAAATCAATACGAGCATGTAGGTGTAGATCCAGATAAATTATTTTCCATCCTATGCCATTAAGCATAAATAATTAAGATTCTATTCTTTTAACATTTTCAAAAATGAAATTATATGATAATAACGATTTTTGTCAGTTTGTCGTTAAGCTAATCATGCTTTGAAAAAGTGGTTCTGGTCGTTATAAATGAGTTGGCTAGCCTCTACATGCAAACATGACGTCAACTTATTATTTTTTTTGTCAAGCAAGATAAATCCGAAAACACCTTGATTTTCGCCCTTTCAAGATCTTGTGAACACTTCGTGGTGTAACTGCTTGTTATTCAAGAGTTTTGAGGTAGTGATATTTACGCATGCGCAAATGTGTGTTCAATTTAGTGGGGGGAAAACAAAAATGGCGGAAGAGCAGGTGAGGATCGTTCTCAAAACACTCGTTGTAATCTAAATTGTAGAATAAGACAAATGCGTTGACTGCATGTGCAACACGAAGAAAAACCACAGATATCTTTCCACAAGCCACTTGAGCGCTTAAACATATAGCTTACACTCAAAATCAAGCTATGATTTGTGTGGTAACGGTCGAAGCATGACACGAGTTTTGAGTCTTGTGTTTACAGAATTTACGATTCAGTGGTTATGTTGTTGTTGAACACTTGTAAGTTTGTAGTAACAGTTATGTCGTGATTCATATTGTTTGTGATCAGTCAGTCTAGCTTATCTCATATTCATCCTCGAACAAAGTTCGATTTGTCATCTATGTTGTCAGTGATAACTTCTCATTTAACAAAAAAAATATATATCGTCCTACAATGTCACATCACACAATTGGTTTACAAAGCCAATGTTATTAAATGCATTTTCAATGTGTAAGTTTGGATAAATATGTATCTATATGTGCACAAAGAAGCTAGAGTATATGCTGTCAATTTCATGTGCAGCGACGGGGATGTTTATTATAATAGGGGGTTTGTAAATTGTTCTTTATAGTGTATGAGACATAAGTTAAATACCTTGAGTCACGGTTGAAAATTTGAACATGTTAACATTCTAGTGGTTTTGGATCAATCCGAAGTTCAAAGGCTTTAAGCGTCAAGAAAAACGTTAAAAATAAAACTTTTCTATTAAATATTGTATATTAGGAACAACAGAAACAGTGATTTTAAATCTTTAAAGGCTACATATCGCAAATTTTGACATATAGGAAGCAATTTACACCAGTAGGCCAAGAGAATAAAATAATGTATAAAGGAGCACTGTATCCCCTGTTAACAGCCAAATAAATGAAAAAATCAGGCTTTATAATGTTCAAAAGCTTACTTGCCGAAAAGAACTGCAAGAAATGTTATGATTTTTGTGTTAAACATTATTGCCAAACCCCTTTGTAACGCCAAAATCCCTGCAGAAAAATGATGGCAGTATGACAAGGTTTTCCTGTAAACGAAGTAGGTGTGTCAATGACATTTGGGGTTAGAGGAGTGGGGCATAAAATTTGGCAGTTTAGTTTTCAAAAGCCTACTGTAATTTAATTACCAAACAAAAGTATGTGTAAAATAACATGATATATATATGTATGAGACAACCAAGACAAAAATATGATTTACTTGATCTTTTCAGGAGCTACTGCAGTTGGAGATTCTGTGTAAGCAGTTCTATGAGACAAACAACACGAACCTGCGAGCAGATGCAGAGAAGGCTCTTGTTGATTTTGCAGACTCCCCAGATTGCTTGAGCAAATGCCAACTTCTATTAGAAAGAGGAAATGTATGCTTTGAAACACTTGTAATTTATTTTGAATGTTTGAAGATTTTACCTGTAATCAAATATATATAAATGGGACCATTATATATTTGAAAATGTCTGTATTTTAAAAATACTGTCATCTCGGTCGTAGGAAATGCAAACCATACAGAAACTATGTGATGTGGCACTAGTTAAATGTGTCTGGCTATCAATTTCTATGATCATCACTTACCAAGTATTTCCGGTATATGTGTATATATATATTGACTTGAGCAAGCTTATGACAGGCTTTTGACTATTGATCATAATCAGGGTTGATCAGGGCACATTTTAGGTCTGTTTAAAGGACCCCATTGCCAGTCGAAAAATGTGTGATTTTTCCAGTTCGCTCAATTTAAATTTCTATTTGGAAATCTAAAAAAATGCAGCCTATGTAGGAAAGACAATGATAATGTTGTCATCAAGATCGGCTTAATTAAAAGTAAAACAGTCTAATTTCATGTATTCAAAAAAAGTTGTTACAATGATCATCCTAATTTCCAAAAATTGTTCTGATATCAATGAATTTGTTCCCAATTTCATCCCAGTGTGTGTTTTCCAAAACACTGATAAACTCCTGTCATATGATCAGCACGTATTGGACTTGCTCAAGTCCGTAGACAAGACAATAAACATATAGACTGAAATCCAGTCTATACTCTGATAGATATCAAAGGATAATGAGTTACCAGTGTAAAATGAAGAGACCTTGAGGATCCCTGTACCAATGCACTGTGGTGTTTCCTACATGCAGTCATGATCACCTCCCCTTAACTTCCTTTTTAGCTAAGGCGTTAGCCGCCAGCTATTGGTATTACTNCTTCCCTCGACCAGGTAGCTCAAAATATTAGAGGGATAGTTTAGCAGTCTGATAACACTCGGAACAATGCTGTTGGTTATATTCTCTTTATTTTATCTTTATTATTTCTCATAAAAGTCCTGTAAGGTGTGGGGTTCTTTTCAGAAATGATTTGTCCAAGCTATAGTACGTCATGCCAGAAAAAATGGTTTTCAATACTTAGTTACAGTTTATGGCAGTGGTACAGGGACCCTTAACTCATTCACCCCTAAAGACACATTTGAACTCTTCCAATTCAAAGATTGGTATAGTTCATTATGAATTTTCAGGGGTGAATGAGTTAAGTATATGTAGGTTAAATAAAAAAACGTTAAATTGAAATGTTATGTTCTAGGCAAAGATGTTGAAGTTTCAATAACTGTTTCAAATACTGTATGTAATGTTCCTTTTTCAGTCACCTCTTGCACAGCTGCTGGCTGCAACGACTTTGACAAAACTGGTGACACGCCCAAATATTGCATTACCCTTAGAACAAAGGATAGACATCAGTAAGTAACTTCTGGTACATGCTTCTTCACTTATAGTTTACCAAACTTTGAAAATCATAACGATTTATGACAATATCTTGTAATGCTAAAGACTTGGTCCTCATGTCTTTAAAAAAAATCATCCTGAGATTTTTATTGTAATGCAACATTGTCAGATCATGAGAATACGATAATTGAAATGTAAACAGTTTCTTAGTGAAAATAAAAACATATGTATGTACATGGGACTCGTTGAGAAATCAGAAATTAATTATTACATAATATTGGTGATTTAAAGACACTTGTCATTAGTTAATAACCATGTTTTACTTTGTATTGGATAATAAAAATAATCTGATTTGAGGAGGGTAATAGGTTTGGCAGCAGGCAATAATATATTATTAAACGGGGTACCAAGAGTTCCTGTACATTCACATATGTAAACAGACTAAATATATACAAACAGATGTGGTATTTTTGAAAACATGACATTAATTGAAATATGATATTTGTTTGTTTGAATGGTTTTTAATCTGCTTCACTACCATGACATTTATAACTGGATCATTTTTGTATTTCAGGAAATTATGGCCTCAACTATTTGGGAACAAGGCCCAAACTGGTGCACTATGTGTTACAGGCCCTTGTACAGGTAACATTGATTTTCCCCCTTGTTTGTGACAGTTGTGTGGTTCTAGCCATGGTTTGCCGGGAAAATGTTAGCCTAGACTTTGACAACATTTGGCTGTGCAGTTGTTCTTCATAAGAGAAGTTTAAAATTCTGTCCAGATCTTCTGACCATGGAAAAATGAAGGATTACATTTAAGACAATTAAATTTTGATTTTCCTAGGTAAAAAAATTTGATGAAATGGTGATATTCCAGAATGTATTATTTTATTTGAATTTTTGAATTTTTCTGTTTGTAGCTATTTGCAAGAATCACAAAAATTGGATGGTTTGACATGAAAGATGAAGAATACGCATTCAGAAATGTAATCACAGACGTCACAAAGTTTATACAGGTAAAATCTTGATTGTCACAAAGTGCATGATATTAAATCAAAATCTACCTGGCACTTTTACCTTGGATAAAACAAAATTCAGTATTTTTGTTTGTTAAAGATGCATTTTAAAAAACAGATTTAAAACAAGAATATATATTTTCAACCTTTATTCAGATTTCTCAAAGATCTTTATTGATCCCATTTTGCTTTCAGAGTGGCTTCACACAACATGTGATGATTGGGGTACAGCTGCTGTCCCAGTTGGTCTGCGAGATGAACCAGGTTAGCGAAGTAAGTCAGTTGGGCACCTCTACCGTTCTAAGATGAAAAGGGGGTGGGTTGGGGGTAGTATTGATCCGTCGCTATGTCCATATTGTTTTATTAAAAGTTATCTCTGTTTTGTTACCTTCAAGGAATTTTCTAGATGAATACATCCCAAATTCATACAATAAATAATGATAATAATACAATAAGGCCCACATAAAAGGTATGTTTTAGGTATCCTGACCGACCCCATTTTTTACCAACCCAAGCAATTTTATCTCGCTATAAAGCACTTAAACGTCCGATTCGAACGAGTTGAAAATTGTAAACCTCTCTTTTTTTTATTTGCAGGTATCAAAACCAAATTTAATTTACAAATAACTATTTAAAAGACCTGAAAATATAATGAAAAATTCATGCAATTGGTATGAATAACTATGTTTGGTGATTTTTGTAATTTCTTAAATGAGCCCTTCCTCAACAACAAAAAATCTCTACCAACCTACCCTATTTTTTCAGTCATGTTACCTGAAACATACATTTTGTTTGCCTAATATTTATAGAGGTATTATAACAAATGAATTATTCTGATTCTGATATACTGGGAAGTATGTTTGTGTATGTCCCATTTGACAAATATAGGAAGTAGTGGTTATATAAATGTCCTTGCTCCATATGCAGTATAGAGGGAGTAGAAGGGTGTCGAAGTCCCTGTCCTTACGAAGTAGGAGATCTTTGGGATTTGAATCCTTTCTCCATAAAGGGTTAGGAGAGGTGGCTTCATAAGGAAATATTTTGTGTTTTCTCACCGCGTGTTTTCCTTTGTTTCTTATTTTGAGTTGAATTTGAGGATTTTTTTCCTTTGCCAGGCTGATGCCAGCAGATCCTTAACAAAGCACAGGAAGATAGCATCATCATTCCGTGACACTCAGCTGTTTGAGATTTTTCAGCTGTCATGCTCCTTGTTGCAAACAGCTGCTGGAAACATAAAAAACATGAATTTCTCTGATGACAGTCAGGTAAAAACATGAACTTCTCTGGTGACAGGCAGGTAAAAATATGAACTTCTCTGATGACAGTCAGGTAAAAATATGAACTTCTCTGAACTTCTCTGATGACAGTCAGGTTAAAACATGAACTTCTCTGGTGACAGTCAGGTAAAAACATGAACTTCTCTGATGACAGTCAGGTAAAAATATGAACTTCTGTGATGATAGTCAGGTAAAAACATGAACTTCTCTGATGACAGTCGGGTAAAACATGAACTTCTCTGATGACAGTCAGGTAAAAATATGAACTTCTCTGAACTTCTCTGATGACAGTCGGGTAAAAACATTAACTTCTCTGATGACAGTCAGGTAAAAATATGAACTACTTTGGTGACAGACAGTCAGGTAAAAACATGAACTTCTCTGATGACAGTCAGGTAAAATCAGAATAAAACCATTGGAAAAAAAATATTTACAGCATGACAGTTGGGTATTGTAAGTCAGTGTTATTTTGTGAAATACACATTTTGCAGTAATTGAAACGGAGAATCAATCACAAAATAAAAGATCTTACAATTAATTTATCCAGCAGGATTAAATCAGTAAGTATGTGGTGTAAATTTTGTTTTGTTAATTGGTCTCGCATTATGTTTATGAAACATGTTATCAATGATTAATTTAGCAATATTTAGAGTTTAATTTCAACACAAGGAACACATTTCATTAGTAGTACATCAAAGGAAACAAGTTTAGGATCCACTTTATCATATGACGCTGACTTAAGACCCAATTGTAATAAAAAACCAAGAAAAAGAAATTCAATCCAAACACTGTCTTCCATTCCATGAAAAACATGTCTATCAAATCGACTTTGGTTACAATCCATAGCTCCATATGACAACACAGTTGCATTGCAAATTAAGTATCATCACAATTCAAAAGTTGATGCAATGTCACAGTCACAATCGAAAGTTAGATGTCATGTATAAATTCACAATGCCAAGTTAAATACGACATCAAAATATGAAACTAAATGAGACGTCTCAGTCACAATCCAGGTTTAAAAAATATATAATAATGTAAACAGAAGTTCAAGCAAAAGAATGTTTTGAAAAATGAAGAATAAGTAAATGAACTTGTGTTTCAAAAACTTTTTCTGGATATGTTTTAAAGGCCAATGGTAATCATTGAGAAATATTTGCGTCACTAATTTCCCTGTTACATGTGTTTCATTTGCAGCATGGTTTCATCCAACATTCCTTACGACTGGCACACAACTGTTTAACATTTGACTTTATTGGCACATCTACCGATGAATCGTCGGACGATCTGTGTACAGTGCAGATTCCAACATCTTGGAGGTCAGGTAAGTAGAATTTTAAGTTCATCATAAATAGTCCAGTTATTTAAACCCCATATTTTCCTTTCCAGAATGTGACTGTGTATACATCATTTAGAACACTATAAAAAGAATATCTCCATGGCCTTTGAAATTGTTACACATTATTTTAATACAACTTATTCTTCTTCGTTTTAGAGGATATCCTCTTTTTTCCTATTTTACCTTGTGATTTAAAAAGTTCTTGATTTGTTCTGAAACATTAAAAAGTATAAGATTCTTTTATGCCCAGGGGTGTAGGATAGGGAAATTCCACCCAAGGGGTTTTCAAATTCGGTAAAACCTGAGGGTTTTGCAAAATTTGAAAATCCTGAGGGTGGAATTTCCCTATCATATACCCTTGGGCATAAAAGAGTCTTTTTCTCTCATTCCAATGACCAGAATAAGCTCAGAAACCTTTTCCCCTGAGCTTTTTAGACGAAAACAAATTAGCCAGCCAGATTTAGTATATCCCATATTTGCAAACATTGTTTGCGCAGAAAAATCAATCACGCCTTTATAAGATGTACGGTAAATATATAATAAAATGTTTTTATGCAGCTTTTTAAACGAATTAGCCAGCACGAATGATCACATCGCCTTTTCCGCATTGCGGCATCGGAGAGTTCCAAATTCGTGACGTCACATCATTGTTGTAGCCATTGTCACGTCACGTACCGTGAAATAGGGTGCTAGATAGATATTTCCTACACCCCTTTCTTACCCTGGATAGCTATACCTTACACACAGGAAAATGGGAGAGATTGATTTCCTCTCTTTTTCCCAACCTCAAATCACACCCCAGAATAATATAGACAAGCAGGAAAATATATACAGATGATTAGAAGATGAGATATAAGTATCACCACATCTTCTGCACTTACATTCATTATTAATGAATGAGAATGACAATTGTTCTGTTGACAGCTTTCCTGGACTTTGCCACTATGCAGCTGTTTTTCGACCTGTATGTGGGACTGCCGGTCACATTATCTCCCTTGGCACTCTCCTGTCTCGTCCAGATCGCCTCTGTCCGACGGTCTCTGTTTAACAACACAGAACGGGCCAAGTTTCTTAATCAAATTGTTGTTGGTGTGAGGAATATCCTGGAGAATCCCCAGGTAAGATCTCTGGCTGCCCCTGGTGAAAGTCTGGTGTTTATATTTTGATGAAGACCCTAGTGTTTTGTCCACTTAAAACATGAAGTGATTTGTCCACTTAAACATGACTTTAAAATTCAACATGGGTCCGATACTCGTGGTTCACATTGACCATAAAAAGTGCTAGAATTGAGCTCAGTGCTTGAAAAGTACGGGGAAATAGATATATATTGGAAAAGTGTTGGACTTTGTTCAATATTCTTGGAAAACATGCTTGGGTATATATATTGGAGACATGCATTCTTTTCTATAAATGTCTGTTTTAAGGGTTTCATGTTGATAAATTATTTCAAGAAGATCATCGATTGTTTTGTGGCAATGTGATTCCTTTTACTTTCTTTATATGTAACGTCCTGAAAAGGATATTACTAGCTAGCATTATATTCCATTTTTCATCGTTTGTGAATTATTTTATGATTTAAGTCTTGGAGCTTGCAAATTTTCAACCAGTATTGAATAAATCATGTGTTGATTAATCGCTTCACACAAAATTTGTCTGTGTTTTGTGTGATGTAGAGTACAGAAAAAAATCTTTGTTTTATAATGTATCTCAAAAAATATTTGCACGCTTTTATAATCTGTGTAAAATTATCTATCATAACAAATAAATGATTGGCTATATAACATTGATACCATCTGTTATGGTTTCTCCATCTGTTATGGTTTCTCTGGTTTCTCCATCTGTTATGGTTTCTCCATCTGTTATGGTTTCTCCAATTGTTATGGTCTGTATTAACCTACTGTTGGCTTTCAGGGTTTATCTGACCCCAGTAACTATCACGAGTTCTGTCGCCTGTTGGCTCGGCTGAAATCCAACTACCAGCTAGGAGAGCTGGTCAAGGTAGACAACTACCCTGAGGTCATCAAAATGATCGCCGAGTTTACTGTGACCAGTCTCCGGGTAGGTATTATACGTATTTCAGTGTTTGCACTGGGGGCTGTCATTATAAATTATAAGTTCTTCAATGTGTTTAACTATATGTGAATCATGAACATTTAAGGAGCCCGTTTTTGTGGTTTAAAAGGAGATGGGTGTTTCACTAATCCCTTTCTATATAGTATATACAGGCATTTTTTTAATGTAACATAGCTATATTATTTGAAGCAATCTGTGGAAATTATTTTATAAAATTTGCAATGTATTATTTTAACTTAAAGGAAGAGAGAAATTGAACCAATTAATGTCAGTGACGGACAGATTAAAAGTAATTCACTCCCCAGTTCAGAATTTGGAAGTGGCATTAGATTTTTGTTTTATTTTCATAGCAAATGTGGCAGTTTGCACCAAACAGTGTTCACTACCTGTTGAGTCTGTGGCAGAGAATGGTTGCATCGGTACCATATGTGAAGGCCACGGAGCCACATCTTCTGGAGACCTTCACACCCGAGGTTCTCAAAGCATATACTATGTCACGTCTGGAGTCGGTCACCATCGTACTTAAGTAAGTTCTAACTACAGACTCGGACATTCTGTAGTGCCTATGTCAATGCTATGTACGAGTTAACTCGGTTGAATGCTTTAACCTAGGTCCTTTCAGGTTACATTTGTCATGTTGTTTTCTTTGCTGGCTCAATTTATTCGAATTACTTTAGTGAAGTCTATCTTAAAAGTCTTATTTCTGTTGCATGTTCTTCTATTTTCACTTGATCTGGCCTCTTTTGCTGGAAACAATAGCAACATCACTGGGGAAATCTTAATCTTCTGCTTTTGTTACCGTTTTCCAATTTATCCATTGTGAGTCCATTTTCTGGTCATTATGGTAATCCAGTCAATGATAAGAAGAAATAAATATCCTTGCAACCTTGTTTAACTTCCAATTTTACATCAAACCATGCTATTCTTCCTGTCCTATCACCACACAATCTTTGTCGACACCTTAGACCACTACAATGGAGTCTGGTAGCTTTAAGTACAGTCCATAAATCAAACTCCATGATTCATGTTTTTTGATTTGTCGAACTTACGGTAAAGTCAGGATTTTTTCAAATTTGTTCAATTAGACACATAACAGTCACATTCGGCCTTATGCAGTATTTATTCGAAGTTCAACATTACGTGAGTCCATGTCTCGGATGTTTCAAATTTTCCTCTGATGGTCCCACATAGTTCGAAACATCAATGTTTGACTGTATTTCTCTCTGTCAAAGACTAATGGAATGCACAATTATAGATTTGAGTTTGATTCAGTTGACTTCTTTGAAGTGTTTTCAACACACACAAAAAACTTAATTCCTGCTTCCTATCGCTAGATTTTCACCCTGAAACCCTACGTTACACAATATGCTTTGTCGTTTCAGAGATGGGCTGGATGATCCACTTGATGACACAGGAATGGTGATGCAGCAATTAGAACAGGTTTGTAACTACAGTAAAACGCCACTTCCTCCAACTCTGTTTACTCGAATATCCCTAATTCGTCGAACAGTTTGTTTGGTCCCGACCAAGTTCGTACATATTCTTTGTAAACTAACCCCGGATTAGTTGGACTGTTATTCCTCGAATACCCTGTATTCCTTGAGCAAAAAGTTGTGCTTGGCGGATATTTTACCTGTGTATCACAGGTACTGGCACTACCGTCGACATGTCTCGAGGCACAGGCTGCGGTCCACACTCATTGTGCTTATACAGGTGTCGGCTGGACGTCAGCTAATTAGAGGATTAACGGTAGTATCATTAAGTAACTATACCGTTATCCTGTTGTAGCTGAATTATCTTTTTGTGTTCATATTTATTTTTTCCAGACAATGTTTTGACATCAATAATTTGGCGGAAGTGTTAATTCACTGGGTGTGTAAGACCATATTTCAGCATTTTCTAAAGCGGAAATTACATAGCTTAATCCGAATAACTTTAAAGATATTCAAATTTTAACCTCAAATTCGTTGATTACCATGTATTCCTTGAACTGTTGATCTGGACTCTTCGAGTTGAAGTAAACTGTGTTTTACTGTATTACCAGGAATAAATCCATGTTTTATATTGGCATATTCAACAAATTGAGTGTCAAAGGGGCGTTAATATTGAGGGTGGCTATTTAACCACACATGTATTGCAAAGTGAATATCTAAGTAATTGGGGAAATGGAAATCCTGAAAGTGTTAATATATGTATTAAAGTTCAAAACACCTTTATCTTTATCAGGTGAAACTTTTCTCAATCTAATTAAAATTATATCTTCACATCGCTCCAGTTTACTGATATGTCGCGTTGAAGATCTAACAACATCCCATAGAGCGTCATGTTCAGGCGACCTTTGCATTAACCAATCAGGTGAGAGCTTACGCATTTCTGTAAGTGATGATGTAATGATTTAGGAACACACTTGCTATGATAAAAGACTGAGAGGTGTCAAATGAGCATCGAAAATGGCGGCGCCCATGACACCACGCCGTGTCTATCTACAAGACAACGTTTGTACAATTTGTGGATTTTGCTTTGAAATAAGAGAGACTTCCTCTTCTGGTGATGTTGTCGTTAAAAAGTTTAACAACCTGAAACTAAAATTAACCAATGACAGGCTTCGCAATATTCAAACTATCACTGGACCAGACGAAAAAGTGGATTTTGGTGTCTGCATAAATGCTACAGGTCCTGCTTTCTGATTGGTTGAATGAAAGAGTTATGTCGCGTTTTGATTGGCTTGTTATAAATGCGATAATGCATTCATGTTGACCTCTGACGTGACCCTCTACGGGATGTTGTTAGATCTTCAACGCGACATATCTGTAAACGGGAGCGATGTGAAGATATGATTTTAATTAGATTGAACTTTTCTATAACTGTCCACATTTTTGAGATCAGCTTATTCACTCAAGTGATGTTATCCTATGGTGAAGATCATATCTCTTTTCATTGCATGTGCTTACAGTTATCAACCATTGGGCGTTGTGAGTATGAAAAGACGTGTGCACTGCTAGTTCAGCTATTTGATGAAGCGGCCCAGAGGTACCAGGAACTGATCACATCACAGACGCAGGGGGCTGAGATTACAATTCAGGAAGGTTCGTATCTATGGGTTCCTCTGATCATACATACCTGAAAAAATGCTTCAATATGTGGTCTGCTTGAATTAAGTAAAAATATTTGCTGAAAGTCGTTTGTTCCTTCGTTTATGATATAAATGTGCTGGAAAATTTCAATTATTTCCATGAGCAGTGCTTGAATATTTGTCCAATAGAATGTGCTTGATTGTGTATGATACTGGTGGAATTTCGCTCCTTTTTGGCCTTTTCATTGAAGAGTTGGTCTACACTCGACATGCAATTATCAAAGAGAATGTTTTATCCTAAATACATATATGTAATAAATGTATTAGCACCACATAGTGATAGTCTTTGTCCAAAAGCAGTGTGTGGTTACATAGGTTCTAAAAACAATTTCTTTAAGGTGAGTGATTTGAAAATGATCTGCTAGGTTGTTAGATTTGCTTTGATTTAGAGAAAAATTGAGTCAGAAAATGAAAGTTATCACAAAGTTGTTTCTGTATAAACTTTATTAGAATTCCAAGTCACTTATGACACAGTTCACATCTGATCTGTCTGGAAACTAGAGTTATCATCCCTGTTTTCATCCTACCATGTACATTGATGTAATGAGAGACTATATACACGGCTCTTTGTTTTACCCACAGGTCGGCTTTCATGGCTGGTCTACATTATCGGCTCTGTGATAGGGGGGCGTGTGTCGTTCGCTAGCACAGATGAACATGACGCCATGGATGGAGAATTAGCATGCAGGTAAAGCACACAAATATTTCTTGTATTAACTCATTCACCCCTACAAATTTAAAGTGGATTTGCCCAGTCTTTGATTTGGTAAGGTTCAAGTGTAACTTTAGGGGTGAATGGGTAAAAAGTAAGAAGAAAGAAAAAAAAGTGTCTACTAAATCTGTAGAATCAAATTTTGTGAGACAGAAAAGTAGTTGTCCAGACATTATGAATGGAAACTAAATTTACATTTTACAAACTCATTGAGATATTTTAATTTGGGAATCCCGTATTAAATTTCAGCATGATATTGCTAATATTTCTAAATAAAATTTTGATATATAATATATGTAATGTTACCCATTGTGATGTCACAAGGATTAATACAATGATGCAATGTATTCATTACACAGATTCTGAGTGTATCATGCTGTACTGTACAATGTCTTAGAATGTCTCTGACCATATTCATGTCTTTCGTCCCCAGGGTGCTACAACTGATGAACTTAACAGACAGCCGGATTGCTGCTCAGGGGGGCTGTGAAAAATTAGATCTGGCAATCCTCAGCTTCTTTGAACAATTTAGAAAAATCTATGTTGGTGATCAGGTCCATAAGATGTCAAAAGTAAGTGTTGACTGTAGCAATCTTCTTTTACCCTTACATCACCCGTGCAATGAGGAGCACTGAAATACCACTATCTCACCATAATTCTCATTCTGATCAGAGATAGAAATACAAATTGTTACTTTTGGGGGAAATATTTCCAGAACATTATAGTAGATACCCGTTTCTCTGATTAAGTCAATTTTTGAGCTCACCTGGCTTATGCCGTGGCGCAGCGACCGTCGTCCGGCGTCAACTTTTTCATTTAAACGACTTCTTCTCAATAACCAACAGGCCAAATGTCATGATATTTGGCTGGTTGGTTGCTGGGGTGAAGCCCAACAAAGTTTGCAAAAAGAAATCAACTTGACCCATATTCAAGGTCACAGGGGTCAAATTTGTTAAAACATTTAAACAACTTCTTCTGATTAACCAAAAAGCCCAGTAGCATGATATTTGGCTAAGAAGTTTCTAGGATAAAGCCTGACAAGGTTTGCGAAAAGAAATGACCTTAACCCATATTCAAGGTCACAGGGGTCAAATTTGTTAAAACCTTTTAAACAACTTCTTCTGAATAACCGAACAGCCTAGAATGATGATATTTGGTCAGTAGCATGCTGGGATGAAGGGCTGCCAAGTTTGTTCAAATAAATGACCTTGGCTTATATTCAAGGCCACAGGGGTCAAATATGTTGAAAAACTTTAAACAACTTCTGAATAACAAAAAATGGGATAATGGGCTACCAAGTTTGTTCAAATGAATGACCTTGACACATATTAAAAGTCACAGGGGTCAAATAGGTGTAAAACCTTGAAACAACTTCTTCTGAATGACCAAAAGGCCTAGGGTGATGATATCTGGCTAGTAACATGCTGGGATGAAGGGCTGCCAAGTTTGTTCAAATAAATGACCTTGGCTTATTTTCAAGGCCACAGGGGTCAAATATGTTGAAAAACTTTAAACAACTTCTGAATAACAAAAAAGGTCCAGGATGATGATATTTGGCCAGTTACATGCTGGGATGAAGTGTTACCAAGTTTGTTCAAATGAATAATCTTCACCCATTTTCAAGGTCACAAGGGTCAAATATGTTGAAATCTTTTAATAGATTCTTTTGAATATTATACATGTAGCTGTATTTTAGTCCACTTTTAAGATTACAAGTGTGAGATTAATGCCAGGTGAGCAATTCAGGCCCATTGAGCCTTTTGTTTAATAATTTCTCTGATATAGCCAATTTTTAGGTTACTCGGCATGAAGTGGCTGGTGACCTAAAAAGGGCTTGTTATTTAGCTCACCTGATGAATGTGTGACAGATTGTAGTGACTTCAGTGATTCTATGTTTACAGGTATACCGACGACTCTCTGAGGTGCTGGGGCTCAATGATGAATCCATGGTTTTGAGTGTATTTGTTGGTAAAATGTAAGTAAGACAGTGCGAACATATCACAGTTTAACCAGAGATATGATATAGCTGGACATTTTTCCTGATAAAATATTTCATGATTTTCTCAGAAATTTATGTGATAAAATTTTTAATTTTGCAATTATATATAAGTAAAATAATTCAAACATATCTTGGATTTCGTGTTGGTACCAAGAAACGTATCACAGCCCTACATCATCAATAGTCTGTGATAATGAGGTATATATATGCATTTTCATAGGTATATCTAACATTATAAGTACATTTTACTAATGTTGATATTTCTAAGATTATCTAAATTACGTTTCTGTTAATTCTGACCATCTTATTTAAAACAAAAGTAGCCTTCTTCTGGATATGTCTCTTATTATTTAGCTTACCTGTAACTACTACCAGGCGCTTAGTGCCTGTGAGATTATGTGATGATGCGGCATCTGGCACCATGACGATCATGTAGCTTAATGGGATAAAGGGCTTTCATGGTTGTTCAAACTTTGACCCATATCAGTATTAGAATTCTGATGAGATACTAATGTTTTACAATAACAGAATCACAAACCTGAAGTATTGGGCGCGGAGTGAACAGATCATCTCTCGGACCCTACAGCTGCTTAGTGACCTATCCGTGGGCTACAGCAGTGTGAGGAAACTGGTCAAGCTGGAGGCGGTCCAGTTCATGCTAAATAACCACACAGTAAGTTTGAGAGTTTTTTATGACAAAAAAAACCCAGTTTATCTAATCATACCCCCAGCATTAAAGATGTGTATGGTGAGAGGGAGCTTGCTATACCAGGGTACTTGAATTGAGACATCTATCTGTGGAAGGAAGTTGAGAGTTTGTGCAGTGCATTACTGCTTACTTTGTCAACTAGTTTTTATGAAAACTTTGCACACATGATCAGTACCATAGGGGGTTGTGCACATGATCAGTACCACAGGGGGTTGTGCACTTGATCAGTACCACAGGGGTTGTGCACTTGCCATTTATTTCTTATCTTAACAATTTTGTTAGAAGTAACAATATTATTACATAATCCCTTTCCTGATAGCCATTAATCAATTTGGTCTAATTGCTACTGTTTGCAGGGTACGTCCTGGCAGCAGTGTTTTTTGTAAGATTTTTCAATTATTTTCAAAATGTTGACGAGTCCCATTACATAATGATGTAGTTGATTCTCAAAAAGCATCAATCCAGGACTTTAATTCCTGTGTTTAAAAAAATCATTGAATCGGAGTCGCCTCAATTTTGATGATCCCAATACAGTGTAGAAATATGAATTGAATTTAAATTTAGCATGAGGCCATGTTCTATGACTTTCAATGTGTAAGAAAACAAACATGGTCCAATACCACTCTTGTGTTGTAAAAGTTGTCCTACCCTATACTTTTAGTCACCTGAGAATTGATACCTTTACCTTACAGAGTGAACACTTCCCGTTCTTGGGGATCAGTACCAACAACCGGCCGATATCTGACATGCGATGTCGTACCACATTCTACACAGCATTGGGGCGGTTACTGATGGTGGACCTTGGCGAGGATGAGGAAAAGTTTGATAAATTTATGATACCATTGACTGGTATGATTTTAAATATGTCTGCCTTTGTAAGCCTTAAGAAACTTCTGTTTCCTCTATAAACCCTTTACTCTCAAAGTTAAAATATCTGCTCCAAAATCTACGTAAAAAATTATTGAAAATATGTCAAATTGTATGCTACCATACCTTTGATGTGTATAGGAGTTATGTCTTAAATCTGATGATAAGCATTGTAATTCAGAATTTGTGATATGTTGCCTAAAGCAATACGCCACACCTGTGATTATATGCCATAGTTATCTCCCTTCCATATAGATTTTACACTATACTCTGCATTTAGCTCTATAACTCTTATACTAAAGGTCCAACATTCATCAAGTTTCGGGATACATCTCAAGGAGCACTACAGCAGTATATCCGTGATGATCACTATGGCCTGTGCCGTTTTACGTTTATCACAGTCCAAACGGTTGAACCAGTTTGACCAGAGTTGTTCGTTTATGAAATAAGGTCAGACCCAGTAATCTGATGGTGCTTTCAGGCATGTCTTGACCAAGCCTTGCAAGGCCTGCATAAACTTTTGCAGGTCCGCCAGAATTTATACCCGAAAATGTTACATTTAAAACTGGATATACCGGTTGTTCCTCATAAATGAACAGGCCCCAGTATTTTCCACTTCATGAACTTTTGTTAGATGTTACCTATAGGTTTGTTTCTATGGTTGGTCTTTGCATTTCCCTCCATTTCCATCAAAGCCAGAGTGGTGAGGGCATATATGTTTTTGTTACCAACATATTCTAGTTAGCAATTGTATGTAATCATTCAAAACAAGGAATTATAGCCATGCTAACAGTGTTTTCTTTATTTTGTTAAGCTGCGTTTGAGTCGGTCGGGAACATGCTGGCATGTGCAAATACCCCGATGAAGGCTGAGGAGGCTAAGGTAATTATTCTCCCATAACTATAACAGCTTTCCTCACAAAAAATATGTTGGATAAAAAGGCAAGTCATGCATTGGAAGGCAAAATCAATTACTACTCTAGAAAGGAGTTTTTCATTAAACAATACCAAATATATCATTGTTAATTATGAAAAAAATATACTTGTAATGGTTTCCATTTTCGTAGCTAATATTCTATATTAACACATGGTGTAAGACATGGCAGAAGGTTGCCATCTTACTAGCATCAAATCATTACTGCATCACCAAGAACCGTTTTCAAAGATCATGTGGGGGTATGAACTCTTTCACCACTGTAGACCATAATGGACTCATCCAGATCAATGCATGGGAGAGTCTTCTTAAGTTGCATAGGGGTGAAAGGGTTAAACAGTGGATAACAGCTCCAGTTGTGTGGTGTGTGTTAAGGATGTACTCTTCTGAGGTTTCAATCACGTTCAAGCCTCGTTTTGATCTGGTGTAATGGGTTTTTGTAATATTTAACAACTTATGATCAAGTTTATTAGCAAACACGCATCTGAAAAATATGTCAAAAAACTGGATGCCTGTTGTTTGTAGAACTGTTTTTACAAGAATTTAAAAAAATTACCAATTTGGCGGCCATTTTGAAAATGTGTATTATTGTGTAAATCTTGTGCTTCAAAAAAGGCCAAAATTTCACCTTTTTTTGGCACTAGATTGATCACTTAAATTGTCATTGTGTCGCCATTTTTAATTGTAGCAGGTTCATTTTTGCTGTACAACTTTATAATGTTAAATATGATAAAAATGATATGCAACAAACTGGAAAATTATACATTATTGATATTTTTTTTACGTATTTAGTGTAACTGAAGCACTTTTGGTTTTTGACCCCGAAAAAGGTAAAAAAT